CTCCCCACCTTCTGTGCCTCAGGGGACACCCTTCTGCACCCCAGCACACAAGCAGGTCGCCCCGAGGCCCACAGACGTCAGTGTCCTCTACTGAGGCGCGGGGGGCCGGGGGCTCCGTGGTGGGCCCTGGCCGCATGTTCTCCGTGGGCAGAGGGCAGGGCCGCGCGGTCAGTGAGCCGGTGCCCGGCCCTCCCACGGCACAGACCCAGGCCTGGTGCAGCCACAGAAACCAGGCCGCCCCGCAGCCCCCTCCTCGGCGGCCTCTGGGTCGCAGGCGGAGCCGGCCGCGACTCGCCCCAGAGCGCCGTCCGTGTCCTGTCTGGCCTCCTGCCGACGGAAAAGCGCGAGGCCAGCCCAGGCACAGGCCTCGGCTCCGCTCTGTCCAGGCCGACTCTGCCGCTGTCCGGCCTGCAGGCCGGCGGCCTCACGGCGCTGCTCTCGGCGTCCAGCCCAGGCCCGGGAGCCCACGTACACGCGACACCTGCAGCCGCGGTCACCCGGAGACTGGCCGGGGGCCGGGGGCCGGGCATAGCCGTCCTGCCTGGCGTGGCTCCGCCTATCTGCTCTCGGCCCCCAGAAGTGTGGGCAGGTCGACAGCGGCCTAAGCTGTTTCTAAATGTTTGCGGTCACCAGGCACTTAGCTTTTTCGTTCTTGGGGTTCAGAGTAAGTGATCCAGGAGTCATCCTGGAATGTCAGCCAGCCCCGCCGGTAGAAGGCAGGAGTCTCGCCCAAGGGCAGGGCCTCAGGTTGCTCCAGGGAGGCCCGCTGTGGCCCGCCGGGCCTCACCGACACGCTCACCTGCCTGCCCGGCCTCACCGGCCCCGTTCACCTGCCCGCCGGCCCTCACCAACACGCTCACCTGCCCGCCGGGCCTCACCGCCCCGCTCACCTGCCCGCCCGGCCTCACCGCCCCGCTCACCTGCCTTCCCTGGCGACAGACCAGCTGTGTCTACCTGCCCAGGTGCAGGGGGCAAGGGGCAGGGTCACCAAGGGCACCCTTGGCCGCTTGTGTTGGGCGGTCCCAAGGCCAGAGGGCGCCTGGGGGTCAGTGTGGGTGCCGGGAAGTCCGCAGCAAGGGCGTCCGGGCACAGCCCACGGCTGCCTCTCGGAGCCGGCAGGCCCAGCGGGGCTGCAGGCCGCGGGCTCAGCGC